CGGGCGCGGAGAGGGAGGGCAGAGCCTGCGCTATTAAAACAATACTTTAATGTGTGCACCAAAGGAAGGAGGCGCGGGGTGGGCTCATATATTAACTCTGCAATAGCCTCTGTAAGTCACAGTGAAGGGCTGGGGGGGGTCACTCGCACGACAAGGACTCTGCAAGGTCAGGACGCAGATTTCTGCCCCGTGAATTCGAGAACAGCGTTACGAGACATTTAAACGCGATTTAACGAGTCGTCTGGCCACGACATACAACATCTCTCCCCGATGCACGCCGACGCCCCCGTCGAGTATGGATTTCCACAGATGCTTTCACCACGGAGCGTTCGGAAAAGGCTGACGACGGGTATCTGACGTATGAAACGTTTGGCCTTTGCAAATAAATGCAAATACATTCCTCGTATAGCAGTCATTTTGGCAATAGTATTAGCAAGCAATATGCTTGGATAACCGATTTCCACTAGGGCCATTGCAAACTCTTCTTTGTTGGACAACAAGAGGCCATTTGCAGCATTCTGGAAGAGAGAAACACAGGCTGAGGAGCGGGAGCGGGTCACGCCCGCGCAGCCGGTGCCCGACCGAGGGTTTCAAAGCAGCCGCGACAAAAAATGATTAGAAAGAAACCAAGTCCCAGCTCCAGGATGATGGGCACACAACTTCTCACTCACTGCTGCTGATTTGTTTGTTTGTTTTGCACAATATACTGCTTTTACCTAGAAACTAGTTTTTAAAGGGTCATTTTTAGTAAGAAAAACGGCACTTTATGCTTTAGCGTAGAGGCTAGCTGAAAAGAGAGGCGGAAAAACACCCAACACATAAACAGTTGTATCTGGAGCAGAAACCCAGGGTAGCAGCTTTGTTTTTCCAAAGTGACAGCAGATGCGACTGCTTTATCTTCCCTTCCACGTGTCCACAGCACGTCCTAGAAGACAGCTGGGGAGCAGCTCAGCTCATCTCCACACCCCGCTTCAATGCTCCCCGTGGGGACAGTCAGTACTAACCCTCCCAAGTGGCTGATTTCGATTTTGCTGAAGTAAGCCTGCTTCCAGAGCTCAGAAAAAGAATTTCTGACAAATCATCTCACATAACGGTATTGTTCTGAAAACCTAAAGCAACTGTGAAGGGGATCATTTGCATAATGAGTGTGCATGGAGCAGCCCGGATAATCCACAGGCACGAGAAATTACACAAGCAAAATGCTAACCCTGGAGCAACGCAGGCAGATTTGCCTGAGTCCCAAAATGAAGGACAAGGTCTTACCTGGAAATCATTAATTTTCTTAGTGAGAAGATGATGTGTTCTGAGTCACCTAGAACAACCCGGAAACAGAAGAGTCAGCTTTAAGCCACCATCTGCAGCTCCAAGCATTCCCACTGTGTTCCCAGCAGCAAGAAAAGGAAATGTTTAAGACACAGAAAGCAGCACAAGGGCGAAGAACCAGCAGCCAGGAGACGCTGCCATGAGACTGCAATCTCTTGTTTCGCTACCGGTCACTCAACACAAACCACCCTGGGCGGCCCTCCGGGAATCGCCAGCAACACCTCTCGCTGTGAAAGCCACTACCTGCTCGCTTCACCAGCAGCCCTGCGTCCTCAGTCCAGGACGGGGCTCTGCATCTTCTCACCAGACGCCCGCGATGCAGATCAACCCCTCTGCTTTCATTAGGAGGCCACAGGTGAAACCTGGTACCTTTGATCGAAACATCAACACCAATCTGCTGCATCTCCATACTGTGCAGGTAGCGCTTTCTGGAGAGTGAAGAAGTCATCTTTTTTTTTAAGTCTGTATGTGCAATGGCTATGGGACTGCTCTGCATTACAAAAGATGGTTATCAGTTGTTTTCAAGCACTGCTCTTTAGGGAGGGAGCCCCATAGTGTATTTTTGACACCTGAAGACAATCACCCAAGTACAAGAACTAGAAGACCTATCTGTAGCCTGTAAATCAGACAAGCCACCCTTCCCTAAGGCAGTCAAGACCCATGGCAATGAAAACTTTAGGAGTTTTGGAACAGAGAGCAAGGTAGAAAGTGTTTTAAAGTAAGAGAATGAAGAGTACAAGTTTCTGAGTGAACACAGAACTCCACAGACGAAACCATACACACGAGCAGACCAGGAAGGAGGTGGCAGAGATGAATGAGCAGGGTCTAAGGAGCACAGAATACACAGGACATCAGCAACGAAAGCGTGGAGGGTGGGAGCAGTGCACGGCAGGAAGGACAGGCACACTGTCCCCACAGATGGAGGCAAGAGCGCAGGGACATTCCCCACAGCTGCCCAGCCTGCCAATGCCCATAAGAGGGAGCAAGGGACCAGGCACCTAAGGTTAACCAAATGGGGCAAAGCCATCAAAGGAACATCAGACTCTTACCTGCAGATGACCCTTCAAATTGGCTGGCGTTTTATAATCCCCCTTTAAAACCTATGGAAAAGAGAAAGCTGGAGTGACCCTTCTGGGGTAGTGGCTCGATGCACTTCTCAAGTCCACCTCATTAACTGGATCCCATGTCCCAGTATACCTGAACCAGCTGAAATACCCTGATGGGCGTTTGTTCTATATCATGGTGCTATACTGGGCCAAAGGCAGGAGGTTTCCTCTTTCTTGACTGGAAGCAAAGACAGGGAGTGGCATCCTGCTGGGGCAGGGAACCAACACAAGCAATTCTCTAGTTCTCCCCTTAGCCTGGAAGGGGAGAGTATTTTGGTCTTTACCATTGTGCCAATTCTCAAAATTGATCCCAAGAAGTACTGAAAGGTCCACGCCAGAGACCCAAAGAGTCCCTAACCCTGCCCAGGGCAGATGTTCACCCAAATCACCCGTGTCCTAGAACAGCTCTCAGCAAGCAGAGAGACCAAGGAGGAGCTGTAAGAGACTAGAGCACTCGGAGCATGGACCAGCTCCAGGGAACCTCTTCCGACCTTCCAGGTCAGTGCTGCTACTTGCCTGCCTGCCCACAATCTGCACATAGCACCACAGGGACCGGTCCCACCCGCAGGTGTTCCCTGCTCCCACCAGTGTGACAAAGGACACCTCGCCCAAGGGCACCGGCACAGGGAGCACGTACAAGGCTGGTGGGGCTGCAGAGTCCAGCCTCAGGCTGGGAGGAGCTGGGCCACCCCAAAGCATAAGAAACTCCCTCTGTTTAGCAACTGCTGCCTGTGGCTCTGCAGCTTCTTCCTTCCAGTTCTGCTCCAGGGACATGAGTCAATATTCTAAAAAAAACCATCTTCTGTTTTTGCCCAAATGCATTATGAGCCTCCACTTGCATTCCCCACAGGAGTGGCTGGTGAGCTACACATGGACACAGCGTCCTCCTGGGGCCAGACCGGCGCAACCAGCGCCTACAGCTGTGCACCTAGATAACATCAGCACAACCAGAAACTCCCACGCCTGGGTTCGAGAGCGGGGCTGCATCAGGGAGGGACAGGTCAGTATCTGCCACAACAGAAGAAACGAACACCACCACAAAATCATAGGGAACATCATCACTTTGAGCCAGGCCAGACTCAATCTACCGCACACGTGTGTTCTGAAATCATCTCAGTGTAACTGCGTGTCTGTTGTTCCCAGTCCCCCAAAGGGAAGAGAGCCTTTGTTTCTCCCCTGCTCTTTTCTGGCTCGGT